CTAAGGTACTTATATAAAAACGATCATAACAATTTTCAAAACGAAGTCAATAATGTCTAATGAAAAATTTATAGCAAAAAAATGCACAAAACAATGCAATGAAAGTTTTAAAACTTAAAATTTTGTTTTTAAAAAGTTCATTTTTTCTTTTTCAAAAATATTTTAGTATATAAGAATTTTTAAATGCAGTAAAAATCAAAATGAACACAGTACGGATTCATTACAGCACATAGGACCTTGTATTTACTCGTATAATAAAAATTTATTAATGGGAGAAAAAAAGTTGAAGACTTCGTTGAAAATTTTATAAATTTCTTCTTGATCAGAAATAATCTAGGATCTTTGAAATTAATCTTTAAATAAGCATGAAATTTTTCTTTAAAACTTTATTATATTGTTACAAACATCGAAGTTTAACCATTCTAAGTTGAATTCAATTACAAAATTTAAAATCGAATTAAAATAAAAATTTAATTGGATTTTTTTCTTGAATTGTCGTCAACAATTGTCATAAAATTAAAGGGAAATGTTATAAAATATTTTAGGAAATGGCAATTTGTTGAAAATTATGAGTTCAATTAGATAAATTGCAGTACTTATTAGAAGTAGAAGTGCAACAATTTGAAAAAAGAAAAAAAAACAATTATAATTAAATCTTATTTTTATGGTTCTTAGAGTTTCCGTTCTTCTTTTATCAAAATTTCTATTTCAATTGATTTACAACTCAAAAATTAATATTGGAAGCCATAAAAATCAAAGGGTTTTGATTGTTTTGAAATTTTATTAGTTTTTAAGTGCTTTTGATCACAGGCAGAAATGGAAATGGAAAACTAATAATGGGATAAGTTGAGTCAAAAAAAACCAGCCATAACTGCCGCGCATATAAGGAAAAATATAGAAAATATTGAAGAAAACGATGAGGGTTAAAAAAATTTTGGCGTAAATTTCTTAAATTCAAAGATGTTTCAAAAATTTCATTTTGTTATACAACATTCTTTTTTTTTGTTAATATGCTAATAAAAGTTTGTAATGCAAGATTTTTTAAGTATAAAAACATTTTGTAATAAAAATTTTATTACGCAACCGTCACAGTCTTACTGAATTACTCTGTTTTTTAATCTCTAGTACAGTAATTTTTAACCGGGGGTGTACATACGAGAAGGCAACCTTGCCGGGGATACGAGAAAATAATCTCGCCCGGGATACGAGAAGACAATTTCAGGGGTGCGAGAAGTTTTTTTAAATTTTCAGTAAAAACTAACGTAAAGCGTTTTAAATAAGATTCAAACAACAACTCTACATTCAATTGACTTGAATAAGACACAAAAATAGAAAAATATAAACAAATGTATGTATGTTCTGTTTATGTCATATATATGTATAAATTCTGAATTTTGAAATAATTTTTGTTTTCTATGTAGAAAAAAAAGAATCGAATTTTCATTGGGGTGCGAGAGTGCATTTTCACATTAGCAAAGGGTGTGGTACATTAAGGAGATTACGGGTCTAATGGATAAAATGAAGTAGATTCTATTTTATCAACAAAAAGTCGCAAATTAGAGGAATAGTTAACTATGCGTCTCCTGATCTGAAAGCAGATGAAAAATCACTGGTTTAGAACTATTGTTGATTTTTATTTCATATAAATAAATTCGGATTATTAAGATCTTATATAATATATGTAGTTTGTTATACTATAAATTGTTCATAATTGGTAAAATATTTCTAATTGGGTTATTGATATGTACAAATACCGACTCCAATATTCAATTAAAATTAAAAGAGACTCCAATTCCAGAGACTCCAAAACAAACACCGACTCCAGTATTCAATTAAAAAAGTACTCTGAATATAACAGAACAAGTTTATTACTAACCTTATAACAAACCATATTTGTTGAAAAATAGTATGTTTCTTTGAATATTTAATAAAAATGTAATGATTGTGAAATTTTTGTAAACTTATAAAGTGCCTCTAATGTAAAATATAATGTAGATAACTTGAGTATGATAAAAAATACAATGTGTTCTTGCTGTAATGTAAATTACAATTTTTATTTAGTATTAATATAAACTTCTTAATCTAAGATTTTTAAGACACTTAAATTTTTTTTAAGACTTTATAAGGCATTAAATTTTACGGCCCCAACATAAAATACAATTGTATACATGTATGTATGTATATGTTTGATACAATTTACATAATAGTCAAGCATACAATTTATTTGTATAATAGAATATTCATTAATACCGCAGTCTATAAAATAAAGTTTTATAAATTTTTTATTACCTACACTTACTTATTCCTTTTCTTTATTTGGTTGTGGGATAAAAATAAGGAAAGATGTTGATTTAATTGCTTAAAGAATCTTGGTCAAGAATGGTTGTATACATAAAATATAAGAATAAGAAATCTTAAGTGAATTTAAAAATTTAATGGGGGTTTTTTTGTAAGAATCTCAAATAAAAAATTAATTTTAATAGCAAAATAAGACCTTAATTATTTAAGTGAAGTGTATATCCTTTTCAACTTTGTTGATTCTTTTTTTTTCTTAAATTTTTTTTGTTGTTCTTTTGGATTTTTGTAATACTGCAAGTATAGTGAATATTAGAAAATATTCTCAATTATTTTAAATTTTCTTTTATAAAATTTATTTTTTAGTTTATTACAATTTTTTCAATCGATACGTTATGCAATACTTGTAATATGGGATAAAATCTAGTCATAATTTTATAGAGGTCAAATTAAAATTGAATTTTTTGAACTTAGTATGTATAAAGAGCAAAATCTTTTTTAAGTATATCTGGAAAGAATATTGATTTTGTTAATAAAATTGATTTGAAAAAGATGAGGTTTAAATTCTTTATTTGTAAATTTGAAATAACTTTAAAAATTTAACAAATTATTGAAAAATTATGGGGAAGATTAATTTTTTCATGGAAAAATTTTTAAAATAACATTAGATAGGTGTGTAAAAATTACTCTAGTCATAATCAATTGAAAAATGTTTAATAATTACCATCGAGAGACTTTCCTGAATTCATTACAATGAAGATTTCTTTCCCACAATTTTGAGTTTAATAAAATTTTGCTCATATTCCAAAAATATAGACTAACAGGGAACGAACGGGTTATTTTAAACAAATAAAAATTAAATTTATTTGCTGCATTTTCCATTTTATTTTCGAAATTTATTTCGTTATTTATTTTCTACGTAATATTTAAAAAATTCTCCAAGAATATTTAAAATGAAAATTATAAATTGCAAATAACTAGTTTTCCTTTTATTTTTCATGAACTCTTTCTTACTCTTCAGCTACTTATAGAAGAAAAATCTTAATTATTTTATTCATTTTTTTTTTGAGTTAAATAATAAATATGCATAATGATCTAGAATAGAAGATTATTTTTGGCTCCAATTTAAAATTATATGACGTAATCTGCATAGTTAAGAACAAATTAATCAAAATAAAATTCATAATGGATGTAGTGAAATAAATTATAAATAAAAAAAAAATAATAAAAAGAAAAATTAAGTATGCAATATTTAAAATCAGTCAAGAAAAATAATTTACTTTGATTTTGCAGTAGAATATACATACGTACATTTATATTTAACCTTTACATATAGATAAAATTTATACTTTAATCAGGTCCAAGTACATTGATGTTAGAAATTATTATGGTTAACCCTTTCTATGGTTGTAATTTTGTTAATAAGAATATTAATATTAAAGTAAAATTTTCTAAGTAAATAAAAATATGTATGTGTATACAGAAATACATATGTATACGTGTTTATGTGAAAGCATCCAATTAAAAATTTTAAAAAGAGAAAAATCTTACAAAAGAGAAACTGTTTGTTAGCGGTTTGCCAATTAAAATCAACATTTTTTGTGATAAAACTAGTAATTCTATAAGAACCTGTGGCTTAATTAACAATAAATTTTGTGACTTCCAAAGTAATGTTGATAAATATTTGGGGAAAATATCATATTTAAATTATTTACAAATTAAGTGCATGAAAAACTTTCTTAACTTTTTATTGTAAATTTCATATATTCTGAATTTTATTGTTTTTCAATATTAATATTGTAAAATAAAATATGAAAATTTGCATACTTTTAGGATTCCGTATAATTTTAATGAAAAATTAGTTTATTCCAATTTGCTTGCAAAAAACTTAACTATGAATAAGAAATGAATTTCATAATTTCTTAAAGGATATAGGGAATAAATATAGAGTTTTTCTACTTTTCGTTCATCAATGCAATATTATAAAAATAATGGTGTAAAATAATGGAAGAAAAAAGTCGATTTTGCTTGTATTCAACTTCATTTATAGAAGAAGGAAAATTTATATTAAAAATTTTTCAATATTTCAAGCTACCCACTCAAAAATTTTCAATGTCAAAGAATATTTTTTGTCAAAAAATTTTATATCCTGATAATAATCACTAAAAGATCACAACACCACCCACATTCATTTCTGTATTGATTCTCAATAAATCATTTTAAAGGCTTAAAGATAATATCAAAAATTTTTAAATTTTTGTGGTTGGCATTTATTATAACCTATAACAATTGACAATATTGCATTGTATTTAAGGTTTACTATTCGAATATTGTAATTTTTTCCGATTTAATAATAATTTTAATGACTTGAATGCTTATAAATCAAATAGTTTAAGTGTAAAGCACTTAAACACCTACAAAGTAAAAATTTTTTTCTGAATGGTAAGCATCCACCTACCTAAAATTATTGATTTTTTTTTTCAAAAATCTTCACCCACTACAAATTGTAATTTACAATAATTGCTGCAAGCCAACTTATAAATCGTTTTATGATAATTTTAAAATACATTTTCTGTTTTATGCTGGCCACGGTCAAGACAAGTAATATTTTCATGTAAATTTTCAAAATATTTTAAATATATGTTGGGAACATTGTTGTACACTTCAATATTATATTTTTATAAATATTTAATATTAATACTTACGATTTTTTTTAGTACATGATCTGGTACATTCCTTGAACTGTTGCATATCGCATGTGCTGAAGAATGTGAAAATATAACGGGCGCTTTCGATGATGCTATAGCATCAAGCATTGTTGGAACCTGTAAATTAAGAAGTTAGATTTTTATATCAGATACGCTTAAATTTCTTTATATGACAATTTGGGATCGAATTTGAAAATTTTTTTCAAACATTGTACCATTACAATGCAATAAATTTTTTTTTTGTGATTTCTTACCGATACATGTGATAAATCGACAATCATTCCTAAACGATTCATTTCTGATACAACTAGCTGTAAATTGAAATAAAAACACAAAATTAAATTATTGTCAAATTTAATATTGTTAAAATAAGGAACCTATGACAACGTGTCATATGTATTTTGTCAAATAATATGTACTTACTGTGCCAAAGTGCGATAGTCCCCCAATATGAGGAACTTTTCCAGGTTCATCTACTTTGCAACAGTCTGCCCTGTAATAAAATAATATGAATTTCATTATAATTGTTATACTCGTATTTATGTATGCTATGCAATAATTTTAATTTTAAAAAATACTATGATAAAAACATAGAATTATTTTTATGCAGGATGGTCCGGTCGATTCGTTTGAGTTTTTTTGAAACAAACCCGTACGAGGGGAGGTGAGGGGGAGGGAGACACGAACATCTGGGAGTAGTTTTGAAGGTTAAAAAATCAGATTGAAAAAATTCTTTCTAACGCATATGAAGCTAAAGCAAAGTTGTGTTCTTTGTGAATTGATAGTCCTACATAATAGTATGCTGATAATTGGTGTTAAATTTACCGTTTTCAAGTACACAAAATTTTAAATTGAAAAACTGAAAATTTTTCAAAAACCGCTAATTATATCATCATTTTTAATACCATGTATACATAGTTATGACAAGGTTGATGTCCTTCAGATTGGTATACAATTCGTGAAGACAATTCGTGGATTTAACTTGGATATCAAATCAATCCTTCCAACACATTTAAATAGGAATAAAAATTATAAATTCAGATGAACACATACATTCATACACAATTTTATATTAATTTTATTATGTAGTTGCATGACAACTGAAGTTTTTAAATTACAATTTGTTCCGTTTTCCTATTTTTTTCTGATTTCCAAAATAATAAGTCTCATACAAACTTATTTGAATAAATATTGTACTAAAAGTGACATTCTCTCAACAGCACTGTATCTACATAGCAGTATTCCAAAGAAAAAAATATCTGCAATATTTACCAAAAAACTTTTATTTTTAAATTAATAAAATGACATAAAAACCAACACACACGTAAAAATATACATAAAGGGTAGTTACTACACAACAATTATGAAAAAAAAAATCTTATAGGAAAGGAGACCGAAACAGATTCATACTGGTAAAGAAGAATGAAAATGTTGGGTTCGATTTTCAAATAAAAAATTATTTTTCATACGAAATGAAAATGTTCCAATTTTTTTTTTATTTGCTTCTCTTTTAGCATATTTTGATTTTCAAATGTCAATAATATGTCGGATGTATGTATGTATACATTTAAACGAAATAATGTAGGACCTTCACGTACAATATCAGTCTATAAAAGATAACTTTTGATAGAAAGTTTCCTTAAATATTTACTGGAAAAACGACCGTATCTCATTCATAGCGTGTCTCATTTAAAAGAGAAGATCTTTGTTAATGCGATCATTCTTGTGTTATAAAGTACATCGGATTACCGATATGTTTGTTCGGAAATGTAGTAAGGATCTTATATTCATAACTTGCATCTGGTGCCATAAATATTAAATCTCAAAAAATTTTGTACAAAATTCACAAATTCAAATTAACTTCTAGGGGTCTATACATAATACAATAAAAGGTTTATGTGGCGATACATTGGTATTTTTTACAGAACCGATTTTTCAAATTTTATGCCAAGAGCAGAACTCGAAAATCTTAACAATTTGAAGTTTTATTGCATAGCCTAATATTTTATCATTTAATATTATAAATTCCTAAGTCCTAGAAAAATCTACTCGTTTAGAAGTAAATAAAATCAAAAATTCTCATCAAGTAAAAATTTCTCCGGAGGAGACATCTTGCATACACTTATGCTTTGTGTATATCCACATATATCGAAGTGCAGTAGATATATACATTAACTTTTATTACCTGTATGAAATTTTTACATATAGAAATAATTATAAGAAAATTGTAGTGAATACCCATATTATAATTTAAGGTACCTGTAACCTGACAATTGACATATTTTACCTTTACATCATATTCTATAGAAGATCGAATCATTTCAAAAACTGTTATATTTACTAATACTCGTATGCATTTCTTAACATTTAATTTGAATTTTGAATATGATAAAATAGGGTGACTGAAAAGATTGTATGTACGATATTAATTTGGATATTAAAGCATACACTATAGTAAAATGGTGACGAAAAGAAAGAGCATGGAAAAAATATATAATTTGAATTGAAAATTAGAAAGTATGCAGATGAATAAATATATATATATAATTATGTATATCATAGAAGTGTACTTGTAAATGTTTATGAAATTTCTGAAAATAATCTTTTCGAAATATTTCTGGTAATATTAATTTCGGATATTGCTGCTATAAACTACAAATTGTGTAAGAATAATTTTTAAAGAGTACACAAAATTTTGCAATCTACGAGTAATACTTACATGATATATACGTGTACATATTAATGTAGTATAGTATAAATGAAAAAAAGCATTAATCCTTGAGTATAGAGGGGTGAAAATTTTTGAAAGTTTCCGATTATCTATAATAATATGTGCATATAATTCCAAAATATATTTTCATTATTTAATTTGAATTTAATAGGAAAGGATAAACAAAAGGATTATTTTCCAATTTTTTATGTAATTTTAATTTTTTTGGGATTTATTCTTCTATAATTACCTACATATATACATTCAAAAATTAGAATTAGGTTAATAATTTGATTTGGCAAGTCTATTATTCTTCATTTCATTTTATGTTTCTATATAGGAAATCATTATATTTATGGTTTATTGTATGAGGATAATGACATTTGCTTCATTTAATGGTTTAAGTTAAAATTTCATTTTAGTTTGATTAGATTTAAATGGAATGATGATAGAAAAATTTTTACGAAAATGATATTTGCAAATATGAAGCTATTTGTCCAGTAGAATATGTAGTAGAATGCACAATATTTATTAAAAACAAAATTTATTAAAATTTGAACTAATTTAACAAGTAAGAATATTTTGTGCTATAAAATTGTGTAGAATTTTTATTGAATGTTACTACTATAATTATTTAATTTACATAAAAGAGTATTATTGTAATATTGTGGTAATATTATGCCATATATTCTATTATTTTCATGATTTTCTTTTAAATAAATTCTTAAAATTCATTCAACACTCTGTTGCAGCCATAAAACATATAAAATGAAACTATAGGAAGTATGCTAACAAGGAATTCATTGATAAATGATTTTCCTAATTAAATAATCAATTTCGAAAAGTATTCGAAATTTTAAAACTATCAATGGCAAGAAAAATAATTGTATTTTACTGTGAAACATAATGAAATATGCCTGCCACTACCATAGTAAATTACTATAACCGCATGCTAAATAATAATTATTAATAAAATATTTCATAAACAAATAATTTCATATGACATATTAATAATTATATAATATATCTAATATAGTTGTTCGATTTAATAAAAGACACACGTTAAAATTAATATAGAATTCATTGGCGTATAAAATATGGTTTTTATTATTTTTAACATTTTTTTCTATATTGAAATATTAAATTTAATATTTTGAAATAATATGCATTTTAAATATTATGCACATGTGTATATAATAATATAATATACATTTATGTTATATATACTGTTATAATATTATATTCTCTAGGATAATGTATTAAATTAAAATAATGTATTAAATTTAATTTATTTTACTTTATTATTCCCCCTAATTTATGATATTTTATTCAAAATGTTAAACATTATTACATGATAATTCAATAAATTACTCTAGGGAAATTAATATAATATTCACTCACAATATACTCAATATACACGTTTTTAATAATGTTATTATATCTACATGTCTACATAGTATTAAGTGTATTAGCATATAAATAAGTTTAAACATATAGACTCTTCATTAAATTTAAACATGTGTGTTGTATAACGAAATGCTATATTATGTTCAAGGATATTTTGTGAATTTTCCTGGTTTGTTTTTCTGTATTGTTTTTTCATATAAGAGTCCTACAAAATCAATGTGTAATAAGTTGAAAAAAATTAATAACTTAAATATTATATTGGTATTATTTATGTAAGAAAATTGTAAATTTTTTTTTTTAAAAGCAATAATAATAATTTACATTAAAAATATTAAATTTTATAAAAAAAAAATTATAAAGAATTTTCAATTTAATTTCTTTATTATTTATTAAATTTTTTTAAATTATTATTATTTTTAATATAATTTAAGATTATTCTCGGTGTAATTGAAATTTTTAAATGATATTTTTAATAAAATAAATGCTTCGATTTAAATTCTGTAAGAATTAAAAATTAAATTTATAAATCACATCTTTTTATTGTTAAGTGTGAGTACAATAGCCTTTAATTGCTAATGATCATTGATATTATTTTAGGGAATCAGATGAATTAAATAATTACGAGATATAGAGTACATGGGACTTGAAAATGACTAAAATACCTACATAAATATCAGAATAAATTGGAGTATCATATTTTATTTAAATCATTTGTATTTTTTGTCATTCTAAAATTAAAATATCAAATGAAAATTTAATAATTTTTAATGATACTTTTATTTTTAGATGTGAAAACGCTTCAAGGAAAGAGACTAATAATATTTACGCTTAATATAACAGTTATTATGACAGCATTTTATGGCGTGAATTTTTTCACATCTTCATATAATAAATATTTTTTTCTTGTGAAGAAACTGAGTTTGTATAATTTTATAGGTAAATACGTTCTGTATGTATGTATGTATATAGATACGTTCTGTTTTCTTGTTGGTTTCTTCTTATTCAATTCACAATTAATAATAATAATATTAAAGTTTTAATACTAAATAACTTATAGAAACTTAAGCTCAATAGTGATTTAGCTATTGAAATTTTAAAAAGATCACTATTGAGACTAGTCTCTAATCGTTTGAAAAGCGATTTCACTTAAACAAGAATTTTATAGTTATGCTGATCCTATATTAAATAAAGGTGATCACCAGCCATAAATTTTATTAATTATCAAAGTTAAGTAAGTAAGTAAGTAAGTAAGAGAGGTGGTTCCACCCGTACTTCCGCGCAAAACCCATGCACTAGGCCAACAGAAAATGGCCCATCGGCAACCCCCATGCGGTTCCGAGATGTCTCTGGCTAATCCCAAAAGCCGCGCAAGAGAC